CTTAATGCCTTAATGGTCGTTCACATTTCCAATTAAATGCGACTTGTCTGTGACTTCAGTGTGAACGGTAAACGGCCCGAATGTGTCCCGCATGCGCACTGGAGACACGATGACGTCAACCCCATGCGTCAACCGCAGCGAGCGTGCTCTGTGTTTACAGAAGTTGTCCAAATATGGTCGCGAGCATTGAGCACCTGGCGATTTTACAGTTCCGGTTTCCGCCTGCTTCAGCGCAGAATAGTGACGTTTGTCGCTTGTTAATGACGTGTAGGTCGGATGGATGCGCTTTGGCCGTTCAGACTGAAGTCGCATGTCAAAAGATCGGATATGTATCGGATTCAGGAGCACATATCCAAGTGGCCTGGGTCGCATTTGAAAAATTCGGATCTGTGCCGTTCAGACTGTCATTAAAAGATCGGATACAGGTCACATAGAAGCCAAAAAATCGGATTTGGGTCACTTCAGGCTGCAGTCTGAACGCAGCCTTAGGTGCTCTGGATTATAAGGCGCACTGTCCTAGAAATGGTCTATTTTCGAACTTTTTTCACAAATAAACCGCACCGGACTTTAAACGAAACACAACAGTTGGATGGGTCAGTGGTTTTTTGTTTGTTTGTGGTGTTCACAGTGACTCTGGGCTTTGTTCAGTTGTGGCGTGTAGGGAGGGTGTGTCTGGGACCAACGGATTGTCGGCGTGTTCGCAGTGACTCAGTTGTTCAGTTGTGTCTAGAAGTGGCACATTGCACTCGCTTTTTCGGTTCGTTCCTCCGTTCCGTTCCTCGTCGGCGTGGAGTGATAAGTGTGGCTGTTTTTCGCTGTGCGGTCTCTGTCTGCTCCATGTGTGTTTGCGTGCTCTGCGGGTGTTGCGGCTTTGTAGTTTACTGAAGTCGAGTGGATTCGTGTATAGGGCGCTCTGGATTGCGGGGCGCGCAGTCGTTTTTTGATGGGGTTGGAGGCTTGAGAGTGCGCCCAATATCCCAGAAAATACGGTAGTTAAAACAGGAGTCTAATTCAAGTGACAAGTTTTTTAGAAATGTCTAACTGGTCTGCGGGAGCCAGAACTCTTAATGGTTGGTCGGGGATCAAATATTTCACACAATAAAATGCAAATTAATTAATATATTTTCTATAATGTGACTTTCTGGGTTTTCTTTTTGATATTTCTGTCTCTCAATAATAAAATACACCTATTATTAAAATGATAGACTGGTCAAAATCAACAAGGGATCAAATACTTATTTCCTCCACTGTACTTTCATTTTAAGGTCAGATCTGTGGAGAGGCGACCCCGCTCACATTTAGAATGCCTGTTTTTCTGAGCTATAAAACCACTTGCAATTGACTACATGCTGTTTAATGCCATACTGTGGAACATGCCAGGCAGAGCAATGATATATCCATAGAAACAAGCAACCAGAAAAGTTACCCAGTGCATCTTTTAACTTCTTACCTGTTTGTCCAGCTTCTGATAAAGAGAACTCTCCTAGTCACGTAAAATATGAATGGAAATATCCGTAACCCACTTATTTTCAGTCGAATCATCCATTTTAAGAAGAATCTGGACCAGTTTGTACACCAAAGAAACAGATAAAAAAACAAAACAAAAACCTAACCATAAAAATCACCAACATTTGATCGGACTTTTATATTAATGCCACTTGAAATCAATTTTTTAGTGAGACATGCTTCATTTTTAATAAACATACCCGCCCACACACACAGGAGGGAGTGTAGACTTGACCCCTGGCTGGCCTCTTCCTCCCTCTCTTCTTCTCTCCCTCTCACTCCGTCCCTCCCTCTCTCCCTCTCTCTGTCCTCCATCTCTCTCTGTCTGGCAGCCAGCAGCAAAACAAATGCATCACAATAATGTTGGTGTTATGTTTTATGAATTACCCAGGTGTCAGAGTCAATGTTTAGCTCTCACACACTACGCTGATACTAGAGATGGAGCTTGGAATTCCACTCTCTTTTTGCATTTACTTTGCATAGAGGCACAGAGCTGAGGTGGTTCTCGGTTCAATTCCGCCTTTGTACAGGTTGTATATGTTACTTCTGTTTATATCCCTGGGTTTGTTTGGGTGTGTACAAAAGGCTAAAAGTCCATAGACCACCACACTTCACTGTGAAACACTGAACACAGCAAAGATTTTATTTAATAAAAAAGCTGTAAAAATGTCTTATTATAACAGTTTGCATTTCTTAATTTTCTTAATTTGAAGTAGTAGTAGTAGTAGTAGTAGTAGTAGTAGTAGTAGTAGTAGTAGTAGTAGTAGTAGTAGTAGTAGTAGGGAAAATCAGGTGCCATAGGTGGATGCCAGTCGTAAAAAACTGTTGTTGTGTCCTTCACCCTCATTTCCTAGTATGAAAGTGGTGTGTGTGTGTGTGAGTGATGGTGGTGATCGGAGGAGCCAGTGGCCGAGATTGGCAGCCTCGGTCTGCCTTCGTCAGTCTGCCCCAGGGCAGCTGTGGCTACAGAAGTAGTTTACCACCACAGGGTGTGGAGTGAATGAATAATGATCAGTAAAGCGTCTTTGCGTGTCCAAAAAAGCGCTATATAAAACTGATGCATTATTGCGATTGTTATTAGTTGTAGCTGTAGCCATAGCAGAAGCAGAAGCAGTAGTAGTAGTAGTAATAGTAGTAGTAGCAGTAGTAGTAGTAGCAGTAGCAGTAGTAGCAGCAGCAGTAGTAGTAGTAGTAGTAGTAGTAGTAGTAGTAGTAGTAGTAGTAGTAGTAGTAGTAGCTGCAGCCATAGCTGTAGCAGTAGTAGTAGAAGTTGTGGCCATATCGGCTTGTAAAAGCCTGATCCTGTCAGGTCTTAGAAGCTCAGCAGGGCCGGGCCTGGTTAGGACTTGGATGGAGACACTGGGAAAATCAGGAGCCACAGGGGGCACCAGTCACAATAACTGTTGTTGTGTCCTTAGGCAAGACATTTCACCCACATGGCCTAGTATGACAGTGGTGTGTACGTGGGTGATGGTGGTGGTTGGAGGGGCCGATGGCACAGATTGGCATGGCAGCTGCGCTTCTGTCAGTCTGTCCCAGGGCAGCTGTGGTTACAACAGTAGTTTACCACCACCAGGTATAGAGTGATAATAATGCTGAATAATGCTCTGTCAAGTGTCTTTGTGACAAAAATGTCTATGAAAAGTGCTATATAAATAAAGACTTACTTACTTAGTAGTAGTAGTAGTAGCAGTAGCAGCAATAGTAATAGTAGTACTCATTGACATTACTGAATATTAAATTTTTTAAAAAGAAGCTGTGAAAATCAGTTTTTATACAATTTTGCATTTCTTAATTAGCTTGACTTAGTAATAGTACTGTAGTAATAGTAGTAGTAGTAGTGGTAGTAGTAGTAGTAGTAGTAGTAGTAGTAGTAGTAGTAGTAGTAGTAGTAGCAGGCACACAGTAGGCAAGGAAAATGACTTGGACACAGTAACTCACACATCACATTATACTACAATAAAACACATAAAAAATATGACAAAATTTGTAATAAACTTCTTTGGTTGGTATGATTGGTATGAAACTATTGTGTCATTATAGTGTTTGTTATGTCTATTTTACTGAGTCCATGTCCTTATTGTGTGGATGTCAGGGGAGAATTCAGACCCACACACACACTCCGTCTGTAATAAAGTGTATAGTTGACATAACCCCGCCCCCCTGGGCTCTTAAACACCAGATTAAAAGTGATCTTCATTAGGTCTTTATTAAAATCCTGCCTCTGTGTGTACATCCTGCTCTACACTATCGATGTGCGTCTCTTCCTCTGGTGACCGCGGCCCGGCATACGATTAAGTTCTGTCTAAAGATAATAAGGCAGCCCTATTGGATTCTTTCAGTCGATCAGATGTTAAATATTTGTCGTGCTGTTATGGCTCCAGATGTTGGATTTTAAAACTGAACTCAAGAAAAACTGTGATAAAGTTCAGAAATAAAAAGATACACTGCGTTTGGGTGGAAACTGTAACTTTTCTAGTTGAGGGTTGCTTGTCTCCTTGGAGATATTACTGCTTTGCCTTGATTATATTACAGTATGGAAATAATGTTTTTGAAGGTATTTTTGAGTTATAAAACACCTGTACTTGAACAAACACAGGGGAGATACGTTTAATGCTCTACTGTGGGACATTCCAGGCAAAAAAAAAAAAAAAAAGATCTCCATGAGGACAAGCAAGCAGCAGACCCTCCACCTTAGAAGTTTAATTAAACATTGAGTTTTAAGGTCTAGTCACTAAATCCAAATCTACTTTATTTCTGTAGCACATTTTACAAACAAAGCCATTTCCAAAGTGCTGCTCAGAGATCAATAAAATGAAGACAACAAAAAGGTAAATTGCTGAAATGTGATCATGCCAGTCCTAAAACCAGTAAAAATTAAACAAAAGCAAAACCATGAAAGTCATAAAATGGGAATAAATAAAACAAGTCAAAATAAATAAAAGACACAGAGGACCATGTGAAGTTAAAAGCCACAGAATAAAAGTGAGTTTTAAGACGAGAAATGATCAGGTTAATATCGGTATTGGTGTAATATTGGTGTATGGGGTTTAAAAACACAATGGAGCACTTCCTGTATTACCACATGACATTACAAGGTGTGTTTTCTATTCAAAAAAACTGTGTGTTAAACATGTGTGAATGAAACAAAACACAGCTCCAGGTCTGTTTGTGGTGAAGAAACATTATAAAAGAAAGCAGAAAATAGTGCTGTAGTGTTGATCGAATTTTAATATTTACTTATAAGGACCTGATATACATTTTTGCCCCCTTGCATTCTAAAAAAAAAAAAAAAATAAAATAAAAATCTGTAAATGTGAATGTTTTTTTATCACGTGAAGCAACTTTTTAGCTTCAGAGTTCCATTCCAACTCACTGGTCTGTTTGTGAAGACACTGACACACACAGAAGAGAAATATCTGTCTATAATATTTGTTTCTTGATATCATTCTGTTCAAATCTCATCATTGTTCATGTTGTGTGTTTGTGTGCAGAGTGGAGCACGTGTCAGCTCAGCCCCAACGCCGTCTGTGGTCCTGGACTAAAGACCAGGATGTTGGACTGTGTGAGGAGCGACGGAAAGTCTGTGGACATGCGCTTCTGTGAGGAGGTGAGAGCTTCAGCTTCTGCTCTGTTTCCTCTCTGAACACGTTTTAGAAAGGACTTTGCTCTAAAATGACTCCAGCTTTAGTCTGGGTTAGATCACTGCTTTTGCCTCAAGTTCCCCCTAAGCTTTGCCTCACACTCTGAGTACCCCCTGTTAACAGGACTTTTAGTAATTGGACAGTTCAAAGGCAAAAACACACAGCTCAGGTTTAAAAAAAAAATGCCCAAAAGTCTGTCTTTGTTTTGATTAGTATGTTCTTGTTTTAATGTAATTCATGCCTTAATAATCCTACATGTAGAAACATTGTTGAGGTTGTAAAATGTTCTACAAAGAATATTTCACGTTTAAAAACCTTTCAATGCTGCCTTTCTTAATCTGAAATCATTCCAAGTGCGCCCTGGCAGGTGCTCACAGAGCCCCAGGGGTCCCTGTACCCTGGATTGGGAAAGACCGGGTTCGCTTTGCAGATGGAACCACGTGACGTGGGTTAAACTGCGTTCAGCCAAACACTGTTTTACAGGCACAGCTACTTTCCATTCACACCATTTGAGTCACTTATAAAATGGCTGATGATTGTGTAACACAAGTACATGGAATAAATTACTTTATTGTGAGATTTATTTTTCATTTACTTTAAACTTAAACACTATTGATCCATGATGGAAATGACTTGGACGTCCATGAAGTTTCATTCTTCTGTATCTAGATTCCATTTTATGCATTTGTTTAGTCAAGTGTTAAACCTGCTTTTTCCCACGTACATTTAAAAGAAACTTTTCTGGTATAAGGTGTGCTGGAGTGACCTGCTGCTCTTCATGGTGTCATGCAGGTAAACTGGACTCAAAATATACAGGCAAATGTAAGTTTTAGTTCAGTTTAAAGTGTCCTTCAGCAGCTCATGTTTAAAATGTCAAATCAGCCTGACAAACTACTAAGAAATATATGTCTTTATTATACAATAATAATGCATCAGTTTTATACAACACTTTTCTGGACACTCAGAATTGTTACAGATCACTTTTCATTCACTCCACACTCAGTGGTGGTAAAATATTACTTTAGCCCGAGCTGCCCGTCAGCCCCTCCGACCACCACCATCTCACACACCAATCTCATACTAGACAATGTGGATAAAGTGTCTTGCCTAAGGACACAACAACAGTTTTTGTGACTGGCGCCCCCCTGTGGCTCCTGATTTTCCCAGTGGTCTCCATCCAAGTTCTAACCAGGCCTGACCCTGCTGAGCTTCTGAGATCTGACAGGATCAGACTTTGACAAGCCGGTGTGGCTGCTGTGACTGGTATGAACTAAAGTATGAACCTCCAAAACTGGGAAAATCTCTAACAGAAAAAAGCGGATATAAATGCAGAAACAGGCTCGACCAGGGAATAATCCAGAATTAAAATACTGAACGCCCAATGGCAACAACAGGATGTGTTCAGATACAGAGCTGAGAGTCTCTTGACTGATCAACAATCTGAAGACTGAAGGGCAGAGGGAGTTGATATAGACTGTCCTGGGATGATTAGGGAATGAGGCTGAGTAGGAAATGGAGCTGGCCTGGGGATAAACATGTAAACAATAGACAAATCTGTGAGAGCGGTTATAGATAACTTCAATGCCACAGTATGCAGTAAGACATAACATCTCCATGGAGACCATCAGATGGCAAACCTCAGAAACATGACTTAGAGCATCACTGGTGAAGTAGTGTACTGTACACCACAGACAGATGTTAAAGAGAGTCAGAGCCACTCTCTTATCTCCACTGTTCCACTCTCACTGTGCACACGAGCTGCAGGGACGGGGGCTCCTCTCACTAATGAGGGTCTGGGGCATTGTAACAACTACAGTGTGCTCTTGGTACTGTGCAAAAACATCCACGATATGAAGCAGGCGTGTAAAGCATTCAGATGGTGGTGTTCTGCATTTAAAGGAACTGCCGTATATCTAAGATATGTGCAGCTCTGCAGCACCCAGCATGGGGGCCGGGTCTGTTGTATCCAGCACCACGTGGGTGCAGGATCTGAGTGTTGCTTGTCTACGTTGGGTCAACTCAACTCCCCTCCCCGTCTAATCATTATGTCTGTACTGTTCCTGCGTTCGATTATCTTTCCAAGTCGGTTTTCTGAGGAAGTTGCCTAGCGACATGTATGACACGTCCCTTTTCCTGGGACGGTGCGACTCGGAACTTGGTGGCAGAAAAAGTAAACAGAGCAAGGATTCTGAGTCAGAAGCCAAGATGGCTCCGCCCACTGTGATGTGTAAATATGAAATTTGGACACTTTGGTGGTTTAAATGACAGAGTCAGTCACTAGTATTACTGCAGTACTTTACTGTGTCTGTATCACTGCCTGTGGGTTTGGTAGTCGGTGTTGTGGTGAGGCTACACGCTGCTCTCCAAGTCTGACACGTGAAACATTAAACTACACTTCAAGCTCAGACCTGACGTCAAATCCGAGGTCCAAGAGGGAGTTGGAAGATCCTTCCTGGTCTGGTCCATGTCTAGCACCCAACCCCAAATGGAATCAATTTTGAGTCAAAGAATTCAAAGAACACTTTTAATACATCTAGCAAAAAAGTATAAATCAAAACACCAAATAAAAATTTCAAACAAAAAAGTTAAATAAACTAAATACATTTGCAATCAAATTATTGGTGTCATCGTGTATGTCTTTGCCTCTTTGTAAACATTTTGTTTTTATTCCGCATTTTTCTCAGTTTAGTTTGATGCAATTTTTCTTTGGTTCTGTTTCCAGTCTTCTTGTTTGTGCTCCTGGACTTTTTGCTTGCAGTTTTGGCACAAACGTCATGGGTGGGTGGGGTTTCCATGGGTGTATTCCCATTGGCTAATTTATGTTTGACGGACAGCTAAGCAAGCATTTGCCGCTAAACTTGGAGCCTATCCCGGAAGCTGTTGTAAACATTTCCTGGTATAGTTGTGTCGGACAGCAACACAGACAGTAAGTGTATCCAGTACTTAGACTCTATACAATAACGTTGTTTCAGAAGAACCGTCCACCAGAGAAAACTGAATATTAGAAAATCTCCAGCACCAAAACTTCAACAGGAAACGTCCACAACAGCGTCCGGAGCTCCAAGCTCAGCTGTCTGTCAAATATAAATTAGCCAATGGGAATGAACCCATGAAAATCTCTCTCTCCCACCTGTCATGTTTGTGTCAAAACTGCAAAAGGTCAGGGAGCGCAAACGAGAAAACTGGAATCATTACCAAAAAAAAAAACAAAAAACGTCATCAAACAAAACTGAGAAAGACGCGGAACAAAAATAAAAGATGAAAAGACGGATATTTTACATAATTACATACATATATTACACAAATCTTTTTTTTTTTAATCATAGTCTTATATATTTTATTTGATTTTTGTTTGATTTTTTAAATTTTTTTTTTTTGATTAATGTTCTTTGAACTATATGACTCAAAATGTATTCCATACCCAGTGTTGGGAAGGTGACTTTTAAAATGTATTCCCCTACAGATTACAGATTACATACCCCAAAATGTAGTTTGTAACGTAATCCATTAAATTACTTAAAGTGAGTAATGTAATCTGAATACTTTGAATTACTTGATATTGTCTTGCTTTTTAAAACTACATGAATGTAACAACCACATCCTGAAAATTCTTGTTTGTTCTCTTCAAATTGTCTGAGCCCAAGTCTCCATGAACAGACTTTTGTTTACTGTGGAGAAGCAAAAACTAGAATATCTTAACATAAGATGTTTTGTCTGCTTAAAGACAATAAAAAGCCCAGACTTTCCTTAACCAGATTAAAAATATTATTGATAGAGAAATGTTTTTTATATGAGATCACTGCTGCCTTAAAGTATGTCCACCTACTGTTAGTGTCATATTGTTTAGACCTGGTTTAGACCTGGTTTAGACCTGGTTTAGACCTGGTTTAGACCTGGTTTAGTCCTGGTTTAGACCTGGTTTAGACCTGGTTTAGACCTGGTTTAGACCTGGTTTAGACCTGGTTTAGTCCTGGTTTAGACCTGGTTTTAGACCTGGTTTAGACCTGGTTTAGACCTGGTTTAGTTCTGGTTTTAGTCCTGGTTTAGCCCAAAATGTGAAAACAGGAAAATACCACCATGTAATCCAATTACCACTCATTGAAACAGTAACTGTAACTGAATACAGTTACTCATAATTTGTACTCTGATTACATAACTCCTGTACATGTAATCTGTTACTCCCCAACACTGTCCATACCCCCACACCCACCCAGGTCATGTTGTATTGTGTGTGGACTTGACAGGTCCAGTTTCACTCCTCGTGTGTCTTGTACATGTGAAGTAAGTGACAAAAAAAAAAAAAAAGGCATTTCATTACAGTGGAGCACTTCCTGTATTACCACACACAGTCTAAATATGCCGGTTTGTGCGTTAAACATGTGTGAATGAAACAAAACACCACTCCCGGTCTGAAACATTGTTATTAGATCAGAAAATAGCGTCATATTGGCCCTTTAAATATACATGATGATTTCACTTTACCCACAATGCAACAGTTCGGATCTCTGCTTATGCCTTCTCCCATCTCAGTCCTATTATAATATATTCTAACGGCCTTTTTTGTCATATTCTTAGACTCACACCATCTATATGCGCGGTGAAATGTCCCTCCGCAGCTCCCGTAGCATCTCTAATCATTCTAAATGTGTGTGTCTGTTTGAAGAGTGACCTGAGGCGGGCCCCGGAGCACTTGGCCCCGCCCCCTCCATCACCGAGCCCATTCACAAAATCACATTACATTACGCCGCATTGACTTTTACGGCCACATCACTCTCCCCGGCCCGCTGTCCTCCGGCTGCAAGGGCCTCTGGGAAATGGAGTCTCTCAGCAGATTATGGATGTGGCTGTAACGCGGCGATCGACCAAGTGTGGTGCGCCGGGTACTCCTGATATTCAGCAGTGGTTTAGTCCTGGTTTAGTTCTGGCTTGGTCCTGGTTTGGTCATGGTTCGGACCTAGTATAGTCCTGTCTTAGTCCTGGTTTAGTCCTAGTTTGGTCCTAGTTTAGTCCTGGTTTAGTTCTGGTTTGGTACTAGTTTAGTCCTGGTTAAATCCTGGTTGACTCCTGGTTTAGTCCTAGTTTGGTCCTGGTTTATTCCTATTTTAATCCTAGTGTAGTCCTAGTTTGGTCCTAGTTTAGTCCTGGTTTATTCCTGTTTTAATCCTAGTGTAGTCCTGGTTTAGTCCTAGTTTGGTCCTGGTTTAGTCCTGTTTTAATCCTAGTGTAGTCCTAGTTTGGTACTAGTTTAGTCCTGGTTAAATCCTGGTTGACTCCTGGTTTAGTCCTAGTTTGGTCCTGGTTTATTCCTATTTTAATCCTAGTGTAGTCCTAGTTTGGTCCTAGTTTAGTCCTGGTTTATTCCTGTTTTAATCCAAGTGTAGTCCTGGTTTAGTCCTAGTTTGGTCCTGGTTTAGTCCTGGTTTAGTCCTGTTTTAATCCTAGTGTAGTCCTGGTTTAGTCCTGGTGTGGAGTTAGTTTAATCCTGGTTTGGATTTAGTATAGTCATGGTTTGGTCCTGGTTTACTCCTGGTTTACTTCTAGTTTGATTCTAGTTTAGTCCCGTTTTAATCCTAGTGTGGTCCTATTCTAGTCCTGGTTTAGTCCTGCTTAAGTCCTGGTTTACTTCTGGTTTAGTCCTAGTTTGGTCCTAATTTAGTGAGGGTTAAATCCTGATTTAATCCTAGTTTGGTCCTGGTTTAATCCTGGTTTGGACCTAGTATATTTGTGGTTTAGTCCTAGTGTAATCCTGGTTTAGGGCTAATATAGTTCTGACCTAGTTTACTCCTGGTTTAGTCCTAGTTTGGTCCTAGTTTAGTCCTGTTTTAATCCTGTTTTAGTTCTGGTTTAGACCTGGTTTAGTCCTGGTTTAATCCTAGTGTGGTCTTGGTTTAGTCCTGGTTTAGTCCTGGTTTGCTCCTGGTTTAGTTAAGCGCTGTTGATTTATATTAGTTTAGCCTTTGTTTCATTTAGTACCATTGTAGCCGGTTTATATTTGGTTCGGTGATATCGGTTTATCGTAGAAATTGGACCGATATTTGCACTTGTTAGCATATCAACTATCGACTTAAAATCTTGAAAGCGTGTTTGCAAAATGAAAACAAGCACCCTGAGTCCCCCCTACTGTTGACAAAATTGGATTCTTGATGAGTTTTTTAAATGCTCTGTTTGAATGTGCCCCTGTAAATAATGAGATGAAATGAAAATATTTGTGCCTTTTTGTTTCAGTTAAACCTGGAGAAGCGTTGGCAGATGAACATGTCCTGCACGGTGGAGTGTCCGGTGAACTGTCAGCTGTCCGAGTGGTCCTCCTGGTCCCAGTGCTCCCACACCTGCGGACTGGAAGGTGAGATCTGTTTTTAACCAGGGCCGTTACACTGGAGGTTTCTCTTAGCAACGTAAAGATGCATTGTGTAATTTTTCTGGTGGAAGGTCCATCAAATGCTTTCCTATTGCTTTGTCTGGAACGTTTAACCTTTCTATCTTCATGGAGACCAAACCAGACCAAGTTACAGGTCAGATCAGATCAGAATTCCTGTTTTTTCTATGTGTTTTTGAGCTGTAAAACCACCTGTAATCATGTAAATGTAAGGTAGAGCTGTTTAATGTCACACTGTGGAACATTCCAGGCAGAGCAATGACGTATCCATAGAAACAAGTATGTGAAGGACCACCAACCAAAACGTATACATATTGTACTTTTAAAGGTGCATTGTGGTACTTCTCTGGTGGAAAGTCCATCAAATGCTTTTCTTCTTGGAGATGTTAGTACTTTATGTCAAATACTTCTCACATTATTCCATAGTATGGCATTAAACTAATCTTTTTTTCTATGGAGACAAGTCCACAATGCCACTAAGCCAAGTCACCGGTCAGATCTGTGGAGTAGAGTGTGGATCCGGCCAGTTTTTGTCTGTTCGAGACGAGCCCTTGTCTGACAGAGCAGTGATCGAATCTGAACCGAGCCTGACAGACATGAAGATATTTGTGTCCGAGTCCAACCGAACCCGACACTTAACAATTAATATCGCACTATTTTCACAGACCGAATAATGACACGCAGAGGATATTGTTCGTGTGGCTTTTACCAGACACAAAGACGCGAAATACAAACTCGAGATATAATGAAAATAATGAGAAGACTTTATTCCTCACCTCTCGTAAAGTGGTAAATTTAAAGTGCAGCGTCTCATCCACATTATCTATAGAAATTGTCCTCCGCAAATTATGACATCCAGTCCACAAAACAGGGCTTTTAATCTAGTTTGAGGCGTTCTTTAAAAGTAAAAAGGCAAGAGTAGTTCCTCACGTTTGTCTGTTTACATCCACACAGCGCACGGATCGAGGTGAAGCCGCAGAGATAGTGACTCTGCTTCCTGTGGACTTTATCAACAATATTTTATGCTTTAAAAATCATGTATCTGAAGTTTAGCATCACATTTTTTGAACACTTAGGCTACGTTCAGACTGCAGCCTGAAGTGACCCAAATCCGATTTTTTGGCCCCTATGTGACCTGTATCTGATCTTTTAATGACACAGATCAGATTTTTTCAAATGCGACTCAGGCTGCTTGGATATGTGCTCCTGAAACCGATACATATCTGATCTTTTGACATGCAACTTCAGTCTGAACGGTCAAAGTGCATTTATCGGACCTACACGTTCTCAACAAGACACAAACGTCACTATTCTGCGCTGAAGTCGGCAAAAATTGTTAATGAACTCCATGTCACTGAAGTGAAGCACATCACCACTCACCACTCTTGGCTACGTCTCCACATCCACACGTTTCTTTCAACGGACGTCGCTGCCGCTGTCCCACAAAACACCACGGCCAAAAACCTCGTCCTTCTCCTTCTCAATCTCCTCCTTAAAACAAGTAAGTTGTTCATGTTCTGGCTCCGGTACGAGAGGAACTTTAAAATCTCCAGGTGCTCAATGCTCGCATCCAAAGACACAGAAGACGCTCGTTGCGGTTGACGTCGTCGTGTCTCCAGTGCACATGCGGGACACTTTTGGGCTGTTTAATGTTCACACTGGAGTCACATACAAGTCGCATTTAATTCGAAATGTGAATGACCTCGCAAAAACATCAGATTTCGCAAAAAAATCTGAATTGAGCGTTAAGCCCTGCAGTCTGAACGTAGCCTTAGAGTCTCAAAGTCAGTGGTTTTACTGCAGATAGGAAACAGCTGATCACACTCACAACTTTATAGCCTGTGGTCCGCTGCACCCATTAAGTCTCATAAGATTCTGCTTGTGTCTGTGATGTGCACTTTTGTCACACGTTTAAGACTAAAAAATCCTGTAATATGTGGCGACCTTAAGCTGTTTTTAATTGAACTTTTCAAATGTCTTATCGAGCTGATGTGTCCGAGTCCAACCTAAGCCCAAGCATAATTTTCTGAGTATTTGTTCGAGTCCGACCGAGGCTGTTGGGTTCCGCCGGGTCCCATCAGACTTCGGTCTGAATTCCACGCTCTACTGTGGAGAGGTGAGCCCATTCACAGTAGGAATGCTGCATGTTTTTCAATGTTGTTCAATGCCATACTGTGACACCTTTCAGACAAAGCAATAATATCTCCATGGAAACAAGCTTGTGACTGACCCCCTACCAGAAAAGTTACACAATGCACCTTGCTTATGACAGGTGAGGTTACTCATTTCACTCAAACATCACTGACATCATTATATTTAAGATTTGCCTGAAAATTTTATTTAAAGCAGCTCCTAAGTAATTTTCATGCACTAGAGCTCCTCCTGCAGGTCACTTATGCAAAAACACTCCAGAGACAGAATTTATTTATTTATTTATTTATTTTAAACAAGACAGTATAACCACATACAAAAACATATATCTTTGAAAAATATATGCAAGGCTGGTTCCACACAGTTCCACTTTATGATGTCATGTGGTAATACAGGTGCTACTGTGTTTTTAAACTCCACACAGCTTTTATTAGAATCATTTGGATCATTTCAGCCCTGGAATTGACAATCTCAACTGAGCTAAAGGTAAAAAGTAGCTGTTCACTTCAAAACTTCATGACATCACAAGGTGGAACAGAGCATTTTGAGATTTGGAGATGCTCAGTAGACACACTAATAATCCTGATCGCTCAAACATGAGTGAATAAAAACACAACTCCAGGTGTGTTTTTGAGGACCATTGACCACCATTATAACATGACTAAAAGCTCACAAGAGTCCATTTTGCGTAATACAGCTCTTTTAAATGACGAGTTTCCATAGCGATACAGTAATACAGTTGAATATGTTGCGCCTGGCCTCGCTCTGGTCCTGACGCTCGGGGAAAATGGCTGACACCTGGAGATGATTCCACACCTGCTGTTTACATCTGCTGCCGGAGCCACACTGAAGGGGCGCAGGATGGCCGCCGCTAATGAAGAGCACAGATCTGGCGTGGTGTTTGTGATTAAACTCTAAACTAAACCGAGTCCCAGCTGCTGGCGTGATGTACGGTCACGGAATTTCCCCAGAGCATGAAATATGGCGTGGTGATTTTCTTCTTTTTTTCTTTGCATACTTGCATACTTTACTACTGTAAGCTTTAAAGGTGCATTGTGTAACTTTTATAGTGTAAAATTCACACTGGAGGTCACATACAAGTCGCATTTAATTGGAAATATGAACGACCTCGTAAAAAAAATCCAATTTCACAAAAAAATCTGAAATGAGCATTAAGCCCTGCAGTCTGAACAAACCATAGACTGTAGAAGAAGTGGACTAAGGCTCCAGTCAAAGTAAGCTCATCGAGGCTGCAGTTATAGGACTGAATTTAGAGCCAAGTGAGCCAATATGTTTTGTTTAATTCACATGTGTTTAACACACAAACCCTGCATATCTAGACTGAGTTCTTCATTCCACTTTGTGATGTCATGTGGTGATCATAGAGAATAGTTTTAGTTCACTCACTCGCCGCATGCTTTCAGAGCATCCTAATTTTGAATCATGATGAGTTTATAAGCACATTTCACAAACACAACAACAACTAGTATGTTAACCCCGGCCTTCCTGAGTATAAATAAATAAATTAATTATTGTATCATTGCATTTATATAGTGCCTTTCAAGATACCCAAACCTCTTCACAGTTCAGTGTTACTATTGGAGCCACAGCTGCCCTGGGGCAGACTGACGGAAGAGCAGCTGCCAATCTGCTCCATCGGCCCCTGCAACAACCATCATCACTCACACACACACACCACATTCATACTAGGCAATGTGGGTGAAGTGTCATGCTTAAGGACACAACAACAGTTTTTTGCTGCTGGTGCCCCCCTGTGGCTCCTGATTTTCCCAGTGTCTCCCATCCAAGCACTGACCAGGCTCAGCCTTGTTTAGCTTCTGAGATGTGACAGGATCAGGCTTTGACAAGCTGGTGTGGCTTTATTAAATGCAGATGCCATTGACCTCAAGAGCTGTGATGTCATGTGGTGATACAGGAAGTGCTCCATACACCTGCACTAGAATCATTAGGATCATTTAACCCTGGAATTGCCAGTCTCTCCTGAACTAACTTGAAAACTACTGCTTCATGACATCACAATGTGGAACAGAGCATTTTGAGTTAACCCTAACCCTGTGGAGAAAGAGTTTCTCGAACAAAAGAAGTCCAGGTCTGTTTTTGAGGAGGGAACAATTTTATAACATGGCTTAAAGCTGTTTTAAAGAATCATTTTATTCACTTATTATGATGTCAGCGCTCTCCTAGTTTTATCTCTCTGTAATAAAGTGTACAATCAGACAGTGTGACTCCTCTATTACCCCAGTCATGATCCATATTAAGAACAGGAAGTGATTTACGCACAAAATAGCAAAAATAAAAACACCAGGATCATGCAGAGCGGGTTAATATGAACATTTTAAGAGCAAAATGAGGAGTCTGACAGCAGCAGTTACAGAGAGAGGGCGACTGCGTTTTTAAGTAAATCATCAAACATCTTTTCACCCACGGCAAGGAGAATGTGCTACTAACATCGCAGTCATTTTGATGGAACAGAAATATAAAAACACAAATTTGGACGTTTGCAGACAGCACAGACACATGGTGGTCGCTTAGATGTTTTTTTTTTTTTTTTTTACATTTGCCAGTGAGTAATACTAGACTATACCGAACTCCCAGCTCCACTTTCTAAAGTTCACTTATGTCTGCAGGATTTGTGGATCTTGATGAAATAATAATGTAAACTGTTGTGGTGCACTGGATTTTTGGTGAATTTTTTTGGAGTCTAGCAATGTTTATTATGTTTATTATGTGAGTACATCCGTTCCTCGCTATATTGCGGTTCACTTTTTGCGGCCTCGCTGTTTTGCAGATTTTTTTTTTGTACAGTTTTGCATGTCTTTTTTTTTATATAGTGTATGACCGCACATTGTGTTCCTCTCTCTGCGTCCTGATTGGCTAAGAGACTGTAGACCATTTTCAATCAATCTCCTCCGTGTCGTGTTTCCAGTACAGTACAGAATGCGTTCAGCTGTCAAATTTAAATAAATATTGAATCTCTAGCAGTGTGATTCTGAAGTGCTGTATGTTTGTAAGTTTTCTCCCCGACAAAACCCACAATGTCGACGAAATGTTCTGTACCGACAAAAGCTCCTGCAGTCCCACACAAAAGGCAGAGGAAGATGCAAACCATTGCACAAAAAGTTGGACTTCTAAACACACTGAAGGAAGGGAGAAGTTGCGCAGCTGTGGCGGAGTCCTGCACAGATACGGGCAAATAGTTGATGAAACTGACAGGTTTTAATGTTCTGGAATTTTACGGGCGGGTATACGTGTCGGTAGTGATTACACACGGGTGGGTTAGGACCAGTGATGCCACTAAAGTGGTTCTTAGTTACTGTACTGTACTGTACTGTTACTGTAGTCCGACTACTTTTTTCAGTAACGAGTGTCTAATGCAGTGCTATTTCCAAACCAGTAGTCAGATTTAAGTTACTTATCTAATACACTGTGTGTTACTATTTTTGTGTTTCAGATTGACGGAGGTTATTTATTTATTTTTATTTTTTGGCGATGTGGGTTATGTCCCTAAAGATTGTATAAATCGTCTCTGGTGACAGGTTTCCTATGATGTTACGTCATCTCCACTCCGCCACGAGTCAAATGTAAACAATGAGTGCGTATACATGCACATGGGTATGTCGGTTATTAGCCATCCCGGTTATGTCAGTGATCGGGATACTGCATATACATGTGCTCTGAGAAACCAGGATACTCAAAAAACCCAATCATAACCGGGATACTGATGTGCATGTATATGCACTCAGTGGAGGGAGAGAGGTTCGCCTTTTGCAGCTGGAAATACAAATATTATTTAGATTTTATTTCAGCTAAGGATGGCAACATAAAGGTTCACTGTTCACTCTGTGCTGGCGACAAAGTGTTGCTGCCTTCAAGAAGGGGGTGGGGAATCAGCCGCTGCTGAAAGTAACTAATAAAGTAACTAGTAATCTAACTTAGTTACTTTTAAAAGCAAGTAGTCAGTAACTTAACTAAGTTACTTTTTAAAGAAGTAATCAGTAGTCAGTAGTCAGATTACTATTTCAATGTAACTATGGCAACACTGGTCAGGACTAAACCAAGACTAAACCAGGACTACACCAAACTAAACCAAGACTAAACCAGGTCTAAACTAGGACTTATCTTGGACTTAAGAGAGAGAAGACCGAAGCAGGATGTCCTCAAAACATGAACGGGCATTGTTGGACATGTTTACCTCCGTGAGATGCGGAGCTGAGCCCGTCCTTTCTCCTGCGGTCACCTCCGAGCTTGTCCTGACAGTGAGTCCTGTTTCAGTTTTGGTTTAGTCCTGGTTTAGTCCTGGTTTACTCCTGTTTTAGTCCCATTTTAGTCCTAGTTCAGTCCTAGGTTAGTCCTGGGTTAGTCTTGGTTCAGTCCGTGGTGTAGGCAGCGCAAACGTTTGATATAATCTCGGGTTAATGGGCGGATGTGGTGCTGTACTGCGTGGGTGCCGGTCTCTATAAAACGGACCCTCGCAGGACTCTGCGCTGTAGGGCTCCATTATGAAATAAATTAATCTTTACATAAAGGATGGAAATAACAAAAGGACGACAGCAGTAATATGTTTTAAAAAGGATGTAAAAAGCGTTGTAACTGTCCTGTGTGAGAAACGTGTATAAAGTTTGTGCTGAGGGGTTTTACAGACTTAAAACAGATATAATCATTGTACAATATAAAGTTGATTACTTCGCGGATTTCACCTATCGCAGGTTATTTTTAGAACGTAACCCCTACGATAAATGAGGCTCCACTGTATGCTCATTTTAGCTCAGGGAGAAAATCTATGTAATGATATCTTTCGGATTCCCACGATGCACCTGGGTCCTGATGATACACAAGTGTGAGCAGCTGAGGTCTGGAGTTTAATGCAGAAGTATAAACGTGTAGAGTGTAGTGTAAAAGTGTGAGTCCAGACTGTGCTCTGCTCAGACTGTGAGGATCTGACTGTTCCTCTGACAGGAGCTGTATTACACTGATGCATTATGAATGACTCCACACGTCTCAGGCTAATTAAACCAGGACACTGACTGAGAGACTTTAAAGATTCACACAAAACACAATCTGCTATCCTCTGGAACTTTTACTGTTTGGGTTATAGGGTTTTTACTCAATCTGTGTGTCATCCGTTCATCCATTTTTCAATATAAAACCAAAAATAAGAGAATGAAATAAAGAATAACAGTTTGTTTTTTCAGTTTTCAATATTTGAAACTCTTGCGCCTCATACAGACTGAACCAGGACTAAAACAGGACTAAAACAGGACTTAACCGGTTTCTGTCCTGGGCTGGTCCCAGTCTCAGTCCTGGTCTGGTCCTGATCTGGTCCTGGTCTCAGTTCTGGCCTCAGTCCCGGTCTGGTCCCGATCTCAGTCCCAGTCTCAGTCCTTGTCTGGTCCCGGTCTCAGGCCCAGTCTGGTCCCGGTCTCAGTCCCAGTCTGGTCCCGGTCTCAGTCCCAGTCTTGTCCCGGTCTCTGTCCCGGTCTGGTCCTGGTCTCAGTTCCAGTCTGGGCCTGGTCTGGGCCTGGCCTCAGTCCTGATCTCAGTCCTGATCTGGTCCTGGTCTCAGTCCTGATCTCAGTCCTGGTCCTGGTCCCAGACTCAGTTCTGGTCTGGTCCAGTCTAAGTCCTGGTCTCAGACCCGGTCTGGTTCTGGTCTGGTCGGACCTGGTTCAGTCCTGGTTCACTCTGTATGCGGTGCAGAAGTCCGGCATCACAGTTTAAGTCATGGAAATGGGAAACGTCCCTTATCTGTTTTTTCCATTATTACTTTAAACACAAAATCGAAAACTCAAAAAATTTCATTTTGGTTTTAGAGACAAATAATGAAGAAAATAGTTGTTTTTTTTTTGGCTTTATATTGAAAAACAATGAACAAAAAATGATATACGGATTTTACGAGCTCCTTTGGCTTTGGGGATCATCTTAGGTTTTCCCTTAGATTCGTAGTAGGAGTAGCAGCAGCAGAAGAAGAATAAATGTAGTTCCCAAAATCACTGCAACCCCAAGCTCTATATCACCACCCAGAGGCAAAAGCTCAAACTGCACCCTGAGAGAAAGGTCTTGTAAACTGATGATGACACCTGCCTTCTTTGTTCCTGCAACTACGTCCTGTACAGATCTTGTAGTAGTAGTAGTCAGGGATGTAACAATAACCAAAATATCGTGATATTGTATCGTCAGAAGTCTCAGAATATCGTTGGGCTATCACACTATATCGAGTCACAAGTTCCTTTGCTTAAATACATGGTTTTATAGTAGCAACAGCTTATAAACCTTATGAACTACATATCCCATGATTCATTTCAGCGCAGACAACATGAAGAAATATGTTTTTTACTTGAATTCTTGGGATTATGACGGAAATAATTCACACCAAAATCTTGTCAAGGTATTTTTAAAGGAAAAAAAGTGTCCCATCTACAATTATATCAGCCTCTTCAAAATATTACAAAAAAATACAATAATCATTGTACCTAGTGAGATTTGGAGTAATATACATATATAATATAGTAGTAGTAGTAGTAATAGTAGTAATATAGTATAATAGTAATAAATAGTAGTAATAGTATAATAGTAATAGTAGTAGTAATAGTAGATATAGTAGATATAGTAGTAATAATAGATATAGTAGTAATAGTACTAATAGTATATATTGTAGTAATAGCAGATATAGTAATAATAGTAGTAATAGTAGACATAGTAATAATAGCAGTAATAGTACTCATAGAAGATATAGTAGTAATAATAGATATAGTAGACATAGTAGTAATAGTACTAATAGTATATATTGTAGTAATAGCAGATATAGTAATAATAGTAGTAATAGTGTTCACCCATAATGTTTATTTAAAATATGTATGTTTGTATTTTTCTATCACACCTTTCCTAACCTCTGTGTGTGTTTTGTGTTGTGTGTTTTGTGTACACAGGGAAGATGTGGCGCAGTCGCTGGGTGCTCCAGGCGTCTCAGGGGGACGGGCGCCCCTGTCCTGCCCACATGCAGCAGTGGAAGCCCTGCCCCGTCAGGCCCTGTTACTCCTGGAGGTACAGCCAGTGGTCCGAGTGCAGGGTGGAGGTACGTCTACTACACAAACATCACTCAGACTCAGATCTCTGCAAACATGATCGGAAATCCAGATCTCTGCCTGTCACACAACAATCCTGGGAAATTAGAAACTCAGTGTTTTGTGAGCACTCAGAGGGACAAGACCTGGGAAACAAGATTCATGGAAAAAGTGAGAATGGTTAAAGAGCCCGTACACCATGTTCAGATCTACTGTTCTAATCAGTGTTGGGCATTTTACTTTAAGAAAGTCAGTAATTACTGTTACAAAATACTTCTCCCATAAAGTAAGTAGTAGTAGTAGAGTTAGTAACATGCTGTAAAAGTAGTTAATTGATCAGCAAAGTAATTATCCAGTTATTTTTCATGTTATGTACTATTGCCCGAAAAATCGAGTTTGGCTTTAACGCAGTGACTTTGTCTCCATCTTGGCCAGTGCTCACGCTCACTGCACCAGGGCTCAGGGTGAACAACAGAGAGGTGTGTTACATGTGATGATGTGAGGTGCTTCATTAGATTCGAGTTGCTCCAGAGTATAAGTCGCACCAGCCAAAATATGTGTAATGAAGAAGAAAAAAACATTTATAAGTCTGGTGCGACTTATATAGAGACCAGAGACCAGGAACTGACATTTCATCTTGAAAGACAAGTTATAGCAATAATAACAATAGAATAAAGAACAACAGGCTGAACAGGCACTAATATGTGAACATAACATATTAAGTTATTCAGATAACTATAGTATAAACACCCGAACATAAGTGAGAAGAATCCCTCAGTCGTCCAGGTAGAATCCATGTCGAGGAGAAAATTCAGTTTGTCGACTGGACAAAAGTTAGTTTGGTTGAAGACGTTTCACAGCTCATCCAAGCTGCTTCTTCAGTTCTGATCAGAATGCTGGTGGACACTTGCCATCAAAGCAAAATTTCGATCCCTCGCTCAACCTCGGGTACGAATTTAAAAAGTCAACGCCAAAGTGAAAGGCACCAACTGTTCACCAAGAAACACCTTCCACTGCAAAGCGACCAAGACGTAATGTTCCTGTAAAACCACAAGAACAAGAAAGTGCAGCTCAGACTGTTTGTCTTCTGCACCTCTCGCTTAACAAACGGGATCCTGCTTTGATGGAGCTTCACATACAAAATGTTCACTGCAAACTCAGGATTATTTAGGCAGACAAAGGTTTCCTTTTTGGTCCTTCCCGTGTATCAATCCTGCCCATCACCTTCGCCATTCACTATTTTTCAATTCCGTTGGAAGGGAAACAGTTTGAACAGAGGTTTGAGTCACACACATCTGATTCCCTTTTGCATTTATGGAGTTCGCAAACACATTTCTCGAGTCTTTTTCCGCTGTTAGGATGCAACAACCACACAATTAACGATGTCTGAATTACAAAACTAAAATATGACAATATCAGAACCAGAAACAAAAGTGATATGGTTCAAAAGACTAGAAAAGATTGACTTTGTCAATAGACACATCCCACTGGGAAAACAAACATGGTGGTTTGATGCTCACTTTTTTGGAGAATCTTTCCCTAGTATGCATTGCGCGATGACCGGAAGTCCGAGATTCTTGATGTGTCTATGAAACAAAACACAAGTCCAGGTCTGTTTTGACGAGGTAACAGAATTATAACATGGCTTAAAGCTCACAAGAGTCCGTTTTGCGCAGCGTGGGACCTTCATGATGTCAGCAGTGCGTCTCGTAGTTTCTTGTGACTGTAATAAAGTGTAAAATCAGACACTGTGACTCTTCTATTAGCCCAGTCATGATCCACACACTCGTATTATGAAAACCTCCATCGACCGCTGTCCTGCTTCAGACCTGCAGCCTGACAGAGCGGATCAATACTGCCAAGACCGAGCCAGCGCCGGCACCGCGTCAAGACGAGCAGGAGAAGACGAAGAAGAATACACAGTTAAACCTAAACCTGCACTGAGAGACAGAGAGGGAGGAAGAGAGAGACAGAGAGACGGAGACAGAGAGAGAGATCTTGTGCTACTTACAGAAAAAAGTACATTACATTATATATAGACATAGAAAGATATTACATATTATTAAGACATATTATGTAGAGAGACACAAAGAGACTGAAAGGAAGAGAGAAACAAAGAGGAAGAGACGGAAAGGAAAAGAGAGAACAAGACAGAGGGGAAGAGAAAGGAAGAGAGACAAAGAGACAAAGAGAGAGAGACAAACGGAGAGGAAGAACAGAGAGGAAGAGAGAGAGAGACAGAGAGGGGAACAGAGACAGAGAGGAAGAGAGAGAGAGACAGAGGGGAAGAGAGAGAGAGAGAGAGACAGAGGGGAAGAGAGAGAGACACACAAAGAGGAAGAAAGAGAGACACAGAGAGGAAGCAAGAGGGAGAGACAGAGACGGGAACAGAGACAGAGAGGAAGAGAGAGAGAGACAGAGAGAAGAAGAGAGAAAGAGACATAGAGAGGAAGAGAGAGACAGAGAGGAAGAGAGCTCTCTCTCAGAGACAGAGAGACTAACAGAGATGAAGAGAGAGTGAGGCAGACAGAGAGGGAAAGACAGAGACAGAGAGAGAGGAAGAGAGAGACAGACAGAGAAGAAAAGAGAGACAGACAGGAAGAGAGAAACCGACAGAAAGAGAGAGACAGAGAGGACGACACAGACAGACAGAGAGAGAGGAAGAGAGAGGGAGAGACAGAGAAGAAGAGAGAGACAAATAAACAGAGGAAGAGAGTAGGAGAGACAGACAGAGAGGAAAAGAGAGAGACAGAGAGAGAGGAAGAGAGAGACAGAGAGGGAGAGAGAGACAGACAGAGAAGAAAAGAGAGACAGGCAGGAAGAAAGAGACAGACAAACAGAGAGAAAGAGAGATAGAGAGGACGTGAGTTTGACAGACAGACAGAGAGGAAGAGAGAGAGACAGACAGAGAGGAAGAGAGAGAGACAGACAAACAGAGAGAAAGAGAGATAGAGAGGACGTGAGTTTGACAGACAGACAGAGAGGAAGAGAGAGACAGACAGAGAAGGAGAGAGAAAGACAGAGAGGGAGAGACAGAGAGGAAGAGAGAGACAAACATAGAGGAAGCGAGAAAGAGAGAGAGAGGAGATAGAAGAGGAGAAGGAGGAGAGAGTGATCCATAGTCAAATCAGTGGTAATAAGCTCCAGTTTAGTTGGAGTGTGTGAGTCGGGCCCTCGTCCAAACTGTGTGTGTGTGTGGGACTGGACAGGTCTTTTACATGTTAAAGCAGCAGACTCACACCTGCTCTAACTGCTCCGCTCTGGTCTCCGAGAAGACAGAAAACTTTAATGCCATACTGTGGAACATTCCAGACAAAACCACAGAGAAATGTAGACAGACTAATAAGAGAGAGAGAGAGCACAGTGGGTAAAATGAAAGGAAAACTAAAGAAATGAGCTGGACTTGTTTTTTTTCTTTAAATGATAATGACTCAGCTTGGATTTTTGCCCAAAAGAAAAAAAAACAAAAACGTAAAACAGAAAAAAGCAATGAAAGGTTTCTTTTTTTGTTTGTAAAGAATAGTTATAATTTAGTTTTGGAGAAATAAATTGTTCTATTACTGGAGCATAATACATCTAAAAGATTGGAATTTCAAAATGCTTCCTAAAAGGTTCTTGTGTGACCATAGTGATGAGCTTTGTGTGGATATTACACTGGAGGGAAAGGACTAAAGGGGAAGTGTGTAACTTTTCTGGTGGAGGGTCCATGTCCTCTTTATGGTGAGCATTTGGACACGTTACTGTTGTTTCGTCTCATGGTTTCCGAACAACCAAATAAGTGATTAAAGATTACTCAAACATGCACGAGTCACTCCAAATACAACTTGGGTGGGAAAATGTTGGAGAGGGGGTCTGATCCAATACCGATATTTGGCCTTAGTAGACTGCGATGTACATACTTCATTCTCCAATTTTATTTCCTTATCACTGATATGTGTAGGCAGGCCCGTCGACAGAAATTTGTAGAACCGGGGCAAGAGGCCTCACATGGATCCCCCTAATATAAAAGAACTCTTTACCCCTTGGACGCCGACTAAGGCTACGTTCAGACTGCAGGGCTTAACATTCAATTCAGATTTTTTTGTGAAATCCGATGTTTTTGCGAGGTTGTTCACATTTCCAATTAAATGCGACTTGTATGTGACTCCAGTGTGAACATTAAACAGCCCGAAAGTGTCTCGCATGTGCACTGGAGACACGACGACGTCAACCGCAGCGAGCGTCTCTGTGTTTACAGAAGTTGTCCAAACATGGACGCAGCATTGAGCATCTGGACATTTTAAAGTTCCTCTCGTACTGGAGCCAGAACATGAACAACTTACTTGTTTTAAGGAGGAGATTGAGAAGGAGAAGGACGAGGTTTTTGGCCGTGGTGTTTTGTGGGACAGCGGCAGCGACGTCCGTTGAAAGGAACGTGTGGATGTGGAGACGGAGCCAAGAGTGGTGAGTGGTGATGTGCTTCACTTCAGTGACACAGAGTTCATTTACAATTTTCACCTACTTCAGCGCAGAATAGTGACGTTTGTGGCTTGTTGATGACGTGTAGGTGGATGAATGCACTTTGTCTGTTCAGACTGAAGTCACATGTCAAAAGATCAGATATGTATCAGTTTCAGGAGCACATATCCAAGTGTCCTGGGTCACATTTGAAAAATTCGGATCTGTGTCGTTCAAACTGTCATTAAAAGATCAGCTATAGGCAGTGTTGGGAAGGTTACTTTTAAAATTTATTCCCCTACAGATTACAGATTACACACCCCAAAATGTAGTTTGTAACGTAATCCATGAAATTACTTAAAGTGAGTAATGTAATCTGAATACTTTGGATTATTTGATATTGTCATGATTTTTAAAACTACATGAATGTACCAACCACATCCTGAACATTTTTGTTTGTTCTCTTCAAATTGTGTGTTGAGCCCAAGTCTCCATGAATAAGAAACTGTTTTGCTGTAGAGAAGCAAAGACCAGGATCTGTTAACATAAGATGTTTTGTCTGCTAAAAGAAAAT